GAATAAACATCAGCAGCCTTTGTATATTCTCCCCCACTTAATACTTCAGGAGCTATATAGGGTAATACTCCAGAAATTTTATTCTTTTGGGGATTGAGATTTTTGATGTTTTCTGTAATTAATTTGCTCAATCCAAAATCTGATATAAATAAAGAATTCTTACTCGAATCAAATTTTAAAATATTTCCGGGATGAAAATCACGATGAACTATATCTAACTTATGAATTTTTGCAAATTCATTAACTATTTTTTTTAAATGAAGTAATTTATCATTCCAAATGACAAAATTATTATTCAAATAATTTCTAAGACTTCCACCTTTAAAATATTGTAAAACCATCATATATTCGTGAGTTCCTGGATCTTTTGTAATTCCATAAAGTAAAACTGCTTGTAAAGCTCCATCATTATTTGTTCTCAAGTGAATTGCCATCTAAATAACATATTTTTTAAATTATAATTGATATACATAAGACATAATTTCAAATATTAATTATTAATATAAAATATTACTTTACCTCATTTAAAAAATCTTCATTTATATCTACAATACCAACAAACTTTTTTAATACCGCTTCACGTTGACCTTTTCTCTGCCATTGTTGATTTTTAATATCCCAATAATTAATAAATCCATCAATACACTTAGCATAATAAATAGTAGCATAACCACCTTTTGCTATTTGTTTAATATCATGAAATCTCTTATAAGGTATCCATTCTATTACTTTATAAGAATCATCAGCATTTAGTTGAGCATCTTGAATAAATTTATCTATTGTGGCATTTCCGCTTGTCCATTTATCAAAATTATTTTTAAAATGTGTTGAGTTGCACGGTTTACACCACCAACTACTGTACATTTGGTTGCATTCTGAGCATACTCCAGGCATTTTCTGTTTGTTTGTTTGTTTAGGTAGAAGTTTATATTATAAATAAATTGTTTCGGATACCAGCAAATCACGTTTTATGCAAACTTTTAAACGTGTAACATCTGATTTTTTTTGAGATAATCATTAATCATGCGAGAACTTTTCGTTTTTAATATTTTAATTTAATTTAATTATTTATAACGATGATGTTATTATATAGACCAAACTCAAAATTTAGAATTTGTTCAAGTGAAAAGTTTAAAATAATAATTACTGGAAATAAAAATAAGAATTATTTATTAAGTAATAATGTTTCTTTTTCGACAACCACCATAAACTTTCGAAGCAATAAAAATTCAAGATTTACTCCTTATGTTCCTTTTCCCGAAGCCCAAGAAAAATCCGAAACTCTTGATACCGAAGAATACATATCACTTTATGAATCTGCCAATAATATGAAAGATAATGTTATGGGTCACATACAAAATTTTATTGGACGTAATAGAGGTAATGAACGTAGGGATGAAATTAAAAAAACTACTATCCTAGAAAAAGTATTAGGCGCAATACCAAGTCTTAAACAATGGAGTGATGAATTATTTGAAGAAATTTTATTAGAATTTGAAAGATCAAAAGATGTTAGACGTGCAAGTACGGACATGGGAGTTCAAATATTGAAATTTCGTTCGGCGATACGGAAATTTGTTGAGAATGTATGGAATGATAGAATTGATCGATGTAAAAGGGATACATTAAAACAGGCTTATGTAGAGGGAGGGGTAAGATTATTATTAAAAAGTTATTTTTTTTTTTTAATTAGTGTTTTGAAGAGTTAATTAATCATTGGGCATTAAAATTTTTAAATCTTCAAAAATAGTCAAGAGAAACAAAAAAAAAAATTCATTTTATTTTCTTTACATATCACATTTGGGTCTAGAGGGAAGCAGTCGAAAAAACACTTAAAGCATCATTTTTAGAATTTTCTCAAGAATATATGTCAGATGCAGATAAAGAGAGATTCAATTCTCTAAAGCAATTAAGTGATTTGAGTTTTCCAGCAGAGTGGCATCCTGCTGCAAGAACTATGCAACGGTAAATTATTTATTTATTCAATTCTTATTTGACACATTAATTATATATTAATTATATTTAATTATATTTAATTATTTATAATATTTATCAGTAAAATAATATGTCACGTTGGTCCTACGAATTCAGGGAAAACTTATAATGCACTTAAATGTTTAGAAACTGCCAATTCTGGATTATATTGTGGACCTCTGAGATTATTGGCTCATGAAGTTTTTGAACGTTTTAATAATAAAGGAATTCCTTGTAATCTTGTGACCGGAGAAGAAAGAAGAGAGTTGGAAGGGGTTGTAGTACCTTTAACATCTTCCACTATTGAAATGGCTAACTTACAAAGACAAGTTGATGTAGCTGTAATTGATGAAATTCAAATGATTAGTGATTCTCAAAGAGGGTGGGCATGGACTCAAGCATTATTTGGTTGGTTAATTATTTATAAATCTATTTTTATCTATTTTTATCTATTTTTATCTATTTCTATAGATGTGATTAAATTTATTAAAGTTAATTTGTTGTTTTGTATTTTTATTATTTTTTATTATTATCCAGGTTTGCAAGCGAAAGAAATTCATTTGTGTGGTGAAGCTTCAGCAGTTCCACTTGTTCGAACAATTTGTGAAAGTATTAATGAGGAAGTAGAAGTAAGAGAATATCAACGTCTTTCAAAACTTGTAATTAACGAAAATTCTTTAAATGGAGATCTTAAGAAAATTGAAAAAGGGGATTGTGTTGTTACTTTTTCTCGAAAAGCTATTTTCAGTTTGAAACATGAGATTGAAGAAGCTACCGGACTTCGTTGTGCTGTTGCTTACGGTGGTTTACCACCAGGTATGTTTGATTATAGTTAATGATATATTTATTTTTATTCATTCTTTGTTTATTTATTCATTCACTATTCACTCATTCATTTATTCATTCATTTATTCATTCATTATTCACTCATTCATTTCATTATTCGTTCATTATTTTTTCATTTTTTATTTATTATTTATTTATTTCTTCCAGAGACAAGAGCACAACAAGCCAAATTATTTAATGATCCTGAAAGTGGATTTGATGTATTGGTTGCTAGTGATGCAGTTGGAATGGGATTAAATTTGTAAGAAGAAATTTTTCAGAAAATTAATAAAAATGATCACAAGCGAACAATTAAATTAAAATTTTAATTATAGGAATATTAAACGGGTAGTCTTTGAAACTGTTAAAAAATATGATGGAGTAAGTGTAAAATATGTTCCTGTTCCTCAAATAAAACAAATTGGTGGAAGAGCTGGTCGATTTGGTACTATAAATCCTGTTGGTTATGTGACTGCGTAAGTTTACGATTTAATAAATTATTTTTGATATTTATATTTTTTATTAATAAATAACATTATTATATAGGTTAGAACCTATGGATTTAAGATATGTACATCAAGCAATGGCTGCTCCTATTAAGAATTTAGAGGTAAGCTTCATCTCGATTTTTTTTTTTTCGAATATGAATTTACTGTTTTATGGTTTTTACTAACATAAAGATTATAAATTTGATTGCTGATCTGATAGATGGCAGGATTACAACCAACCATGGAGATGGTAGAACTCTTTGCACATCAATTGCCAGATGTGAAAGAATTTTCATCTCTCTTGGTATTTGAGATATTTTTATTACTTTTATTTTTAAAGGAAATATTGTTTTGTTATTACCTTTAGAATAATAATAAAAAATGGTCAACAACAAAATTAATAAATTTTACAGGAAAAATTTGAAGATTTAGCTCGTGTCGATGGTCAATACTTTTTATGCAATTTTCATTCCCAAAAGGTATTATTGTATTCTTTATAAATAAAATTTATTATTAATTATGTTTATTTTCAATAATATCTAATTAATAATAACCTATTTGTTTCTTTAACCTTTTTTAAAGCTCGTGGCAAATTCAATTGAACATATACCAATGACTATTCCCGAACGATTTAGTTTTGTGACCGGACCTGTAAACACATCCGATGTACGTCTTATGAAGAATATTCAAAAGGTGTGTACACGCATATACATTAATTTCTATCGTTATGATTTTTTTATGTTATTTCCATTCTTATTTATCATATTATTCATAATATTAATGGAAAAATTGTATTTAGTTTGCAATGATGCACAATCAATCCAGACCTTGTAAAATTGATGAAGTTGTGAAACTTCCAGCAAAGGTTCCTCATAATGATGATATGCTTAGTGAAATGGAATCAATTCATCGAACACTTATGTTGTATTTATGGTTAAGGTAAATTTTAATAATTAATTGATTTTTAAATTTTTTAAATTTTAAAAATAAATAATAATAATAATTTAACTCTTATAATTAATTAATTAATTATTTATTTATTTATTTATTTATTTTTAACTCTTTTAATAATAATTAAATTTTTAATAAAATGTACAGTTACCGATTTCAAGAAACCTTTGTTGATGTTGAAAAGGCTCGTGAATTAAAACTTCGATGTGAAAATACTATTCACGAATCTCTTCAAACACTTAAAATACCTAGGAAACGTCCTCGAACCACCACCAAAGATATTAGAGCAATAAGTAAATTAGAGGAAAAAAATAAAACGGAAAGAAATAAATCTTTCGATAATAATAAATCATTTACTCAACAAAGTTCATTAATATATTCAAAAAATAGGGAAAGGGTGAATCCACATTTTCGGCAAAAGCCACTTAGAGCATTTAATTAAATTAATAAAATAAATATATTCATGTAGTAATGGTGACGGTGGTGTAATTAAATTCTATTTATTCTTTTTTAATTCAAGTGTACTGTATATAATAATAATAATAAATTTAATAAATAAAGTTTTTTCAAGAGTATTCCGAATTAAAGAATTAGTGATTTGCATAAATTTTTTGGAAATTAAAGATTCTCGTGATGAACGATGCATTTTGACACTTTATTATTATATACATTTTTATACATTTAATACACAAAATACTTTATATAAACTTATTATTATATGAAAAGAAACCATAACAAAAAATATTATTAAAGAAATAATAACTTTATTATCCAAGCTTTTTTTTTTTTTATATTGATACATTACACATAACAATAAAAGAAACGCTTTACTTATTGTTAAAATTTTTGTTCCCGCCAATCTTTAAATAATAATTCAATTTAATTATATTATATTCAAAATAAAACGAGGATCTTAGCTCTTTAAGGACACCAAAGTAGGATAGATTACTAGAATTTCATCCCCTCTTCTGTATTTTATCCTAATACTATCATAGGAAAGAGAGATATTATACTAAAGATAAAGAAGGGGAGACGAACATTATCTTAGCTCTTTAAGGATATCAAAGTGGAATTATTAGCAAATCACTACTTCTGAATCTATCCTAATATTATTCTAAAAAAAAAAGAAAAAAAAAAAAAAAGAAAAGAAAAAAGGAAGGAAAAAGAAGGTAAAAAAAGGAAGGAAAAAAAAGAAAAATAAAAAGGGAAGGCGAGCATTATTTTAGCTCTTTAAGGTCACCAAAATAGGAGAGGTTACTAGCACATTCATTACTTCTGTATTTTCCCAAATTATTAAAAATCTGACTAACCAAAGACCCCAATTTAAATAATAATTTTTTTTTTTTTTAAAAAATAGAAACATAATATTAAAATTATTAGAAAAGAGGGGAGACTATATTAATGAAGATGAAACTACACTAATAAAAAGGAAAAGGAAAGGAAACTATCTATTCTCCTTATGTTAAAGAGAGAGAAGAGCTATTTTTTATAAAGAATATTAATAATAATATTATTTTATATTTTTAATAGAAAGAATATTTTAACTATTCTAATAAAAATAGAGATAACTGTAAAAAGAAACAAAGTATAAGTTAGTACTATTCTTTTTATCATACGTTTTTTTTTTTTAAAAAAAAAATTTAGAATGCTAAAATAGAGTAAACAGAGTTGAACCTGCCGCGCCATATGACGCAATTAATTACTGAATTGCAACCTTTTCCGTTTCCTTTTTTGAATTACAACAGGTATTCATTAGTTGAAATATATATATAAAAAAAACATAACTGATGATGATGATAAATAAAAAATAAGTTTATTAAAGAAAAAAAAAAAACAATTCACCTGACGCGATCGCTTCTGTTGACTGCGCCATCAGTCAATATCTTTGGTTCATAACTTGTTCCTTCTACGTCATAATTTTGTATCTCAAAATGCGGCCAATGGTAGCTATACTGTGCCACTGATCATCATTTCTAATATGTTTGTATTCATAACCTTAGTAAAGTAGTTATGTTATAGTGTTAGATAGATTTGTCTGATCTCCTAATAATTAGATTAGTAAGTCCCCATTATTCTTCTAATATAGTAAATGTTTCAGTACGCATGGTTAAACCAAAAACCTCTTGAGATCATTGAATCAAGAATCAATCTGAGGCACAACAAATTATATGTATCTGATGTTTAATATACATATAATAATTAATAATTTTATATTTTATATTTATATTATTTTTAATTCAGATTGACTTTTTACAATGGTAGTTTAAATCATCTTTCAAGTTAATTGACGTGACTTGCAAAATTACATTAATAAACAAATAATGGCATTTATTACAGCAAATAGTGGCAAAAAATCATGTGATTTGACGAAAACTAAATCACACGTGCACACAATTGAGTATGTGGTCATAATGCAATTTTTGGAGAAAATTTTATTTTTTATGCGTTCTCGGTTTTAAAGACTTATTTATATTTTTTTTTTCCGCGAAGAAATGGAATTGATTGAAAAAAAATGAAGAGATCTAAGTGAAATGGAGAAATAATTTTGTTTTACTTGCTTACACGCTTTTGCTTCTATTGCATTCTTTTTGCACATGAGTTCAAATTCGATAAATAAATATTTTATCTACATATACCGAAAGAAAATATTCAGACAATTAAATATTTTACCTCTCAAAATAATATTAAACTCTAACAAACATTTTTTTTTGCAATGAAATATCTTTTCTATTTTGTCGTTCTTATTTGTATCGTTCATGGACTGACGGTTCACGCATCGCCTCTCCATAAAGGTGAAAATATTTGAAATTAATTGTTTTCATTTCTAACTCCTAATTTTCACTATGTATTTAACATCTAATTGGCAGTTCGATCTAATTACTTCACGAAACATTGTACTCCTGATGGGATTGTGAAAATGGTGATCCATGTGTTACTGGTGGTGATTGCACGGGCGATATGGATTGTTACAAGGGGTTGGGGTTGCTTCGAGAATTATAGTATTGGGGTTCCTTGCTGTTAAAAAGGAATAATAGAATGTTAATTTTCTAATCTTTCCTCTGAATCAATTTACTATTGTTCATTTATTATGAATAATGTAAAATTTCTTAGCTATTTCACTCACCCCGTTAAGTTTAAAAGATAAATTGTTGTTTTTTTTAAAAAATTTTTCTAGCCTTTCCTCCGAATCAATTTACTTCTTACTTATCTTGGTCTACCAACGCTTTTTGTTACCATAACTTCATGAAAAAAAATTTTAAGGTGACATTTTTTATACATTCTTAAGATTTTTGAGCTATTTAATTTCTTCTCGATTACTTTCTTATATTTGTCACTATAAAAAAAAAATGGAAAAAAAAATTAAAATTCATCCTTTGCTACAAGTTCGAGTTAATTGGATTTCCTCTTCTGGAGTTAGTTTTGTAGTTAAGCATTCGAGATCCCAAATTATTCGATATTGTATATATACCTACCGACCAATATATATAATATATGCTATTTAGATAAAAGAAAAAAAAAAAAAAAAGTAAAAAAATTTTGATTTTTCTTAGAAACTTATTTATAAAGAACTCTATCCTTCTGAAAATGTGAAAAAAGGTAGCTAAAGCTGTCTCCAAAATTTTTTATGTTCGGTACTTCATACCAACGTATCCATTTCAAACATTTCAAAACATAAACACTCAGGTTCCTTAACTACTTCTGATCCATCTTGCGTTATTTTATCTAGTATTTCCCGATGATAGTAAACTATTCTTCGGAATTAATTTTCATTTTGAACTCGGATAATATACAATTAGAATTATTATATCTACCATGGATTACCAAAATTCTCAACCGCGAAAAAATACCGCCTTCGAGCCTGAATCTGAAAGCAACGGCGCCTTCTTCCACCACAGGATCAGAGCCGAAAGCGCGGCTGAATATATTCGAGATGATGGTATAAGTCCAAAGCAATTTTTCGGTACAAAGGGATAATTAATTTCAATTAATTTAAGTTGGAAATATTTGTTTTCAAAGATAATCTCCTACAATTATTTATTTGATATTTTCCATTTAGGAAGAAACAAAATTCAATAATATAATAAATTTTGTTAATTTCTCTTAATTTAATTCTTATTTAGTTTTGCAAATCACGGAATTCATCTTTAATTAAAATTTAGACTTGCCCCACAATCGTTTTTTACATTACGCGTTTTTATTTTGATAAAACTTAATGTTTATTAAAGAATATTCATTGAATTATATTTTCTTACTACTAAATATAACGTTCAATATGAAAAATTATCAAATACCAGCCCAAACCATATCAGATATCGTTAAATGCTCTATTAAATATAGTCGAGACGACAAATAATCAATAATAATATAATCAATAATATAGAGCATTCTTTGGTGATTCTTGGTATTCAATCCATAATAAAAAATCTCACGTTCATGGCTGATCTATAATAATAAGAATGATTAAAAAAAAAGGTTGCATTTTTTGTCGAATGCTAATCGTAAATTTGCTTCAAAAAAAAAAACAAAAACAAAAGCAATCGTTCATAGTCTGAACTGTTGTTTGAGTAGGGCAACTCTTTTACTAGTCTCTGCATCATTTGTGGGGGGAAACTCTGTTGACTGCATAACGATCTGTAGTATAAATCAATATCGTACTCTAGTTTGCTGCTGTATCATACTAGTTTGACGGATGGAAGAGGAAAATGTGTAACTGTTTTGGAACTATATATATTTATTTTAGGTAATATATATTATATAGACCATATAAATAATATGATTATGCAATCTTTTTATGTAATGAAATATCGACAGATTTAAACCATCTAAAGATAACGTTCTTCCGGAACATATAAAATTGTTTCTTTTCTCACATCGTTATTTAGAAATCAACTTCATATTTTGAGAGTATGACAAAATCATTAAATTTGGATTATTCCAAGTATTGTGGAGTTTTATAGAATCCTGTGAAAAAAAAGATATGTACAAAAAAATAATCTTTAACATATGTAAGTAATCTACATTAATCTTCAAATGAAATTGTGTTTACCTGGCATTTGGATAACACTAAATTATTCCCGAGAACGCACTTAGAGATGAGAGTAACTAGTCAATATTAGTACTATAATTTAACTTATTAACCAATAAACTAAGCTGCATGATCGCAGTTGTTTAAAAAAAAAATCTTCAAATGGATCATTGTCAACGACTTCCTCAAAAAGAAAGACATGAATAAACTCTAAAACATAACCTCCTTCAAAATCCAAATATATGTTTGTTAAGAATAATAGTTATGCATATTGTAAAAAAAAATTTATAATTATAATTATTTAAAAGTTATACTACACCAGCTTTCCAAACTTGGATACCATACATTATCCTCTACAAATGGTCAAGAGGAAATAAATTTAAGAGACTTAAATTTTTAAATGGGTGGTGAAATCTTCTGTGTCACAAATACCAATTATGGACTTAACCGCTTCGGCAATTCGGGAGAAATGTCTTGAGTTCGGAAATAAACGAAAACTTCGAAGATGAAACAACTCTAAAACGGTAATTTAACGAATTAATTAAACATACATACATATATATAATTCTTTTTGTAATATAATTTTGATATTCCAATCTTTACAAAAATTTACTTTTATTTGCTATATATAACTTTTAACCAGTTCTTTATTATAACTCTTCCTTCGATTATAATAATTATAATTGCATATTTTTAACAAATACTTTTTTTTTTCGTCATTATTTTTCTTTCTTTTTTTTCTTTTGCCTCTAACCTATTAATTCTATATTGATGTAATGCTTTACATAATCACCATTTTTTCATATTGACACCTATTTTTGTATGTCATTTGTTTTATTATTACTTGAATATTCTTTAAATATTCTTGAATATTTACCTGCATAAATTCCATAAACTTTAATTTAGTACGTTTTTAAATAACAAATAAATGAATAACTAATAATAAGTTAAAATAAACTATTGACAAGGCTTCTTTCAAAACTATCTTCATGGAAATTAAAAAACAAAAATTATTGGACAATTATTACGGAATTATAAATGCATAAAAAGCAGATCAAATATGATATCCATTCTATGTATTAATATATATTTCATTACCAAAGATTAAATTATTTAAGTGGCACGTACAGTTTTTCACCAACGCAGATCGAAGAAGCACAAGATACATCAATGAAATTTGTGATTCCAAATAATTGGTCCGGATTCACCATTTAAGTTATTTAAAAAGATCAAGGTTTAAACCAAATTTGAAAATGCAAAATTTAAAGCAATTCTTTATTCATAGATTTTTTTAATGTGAATAATATTAAATTTATTTTATTAATTTATTATTATTATACTGTACATATATCTCTTCCCTAATAAACATTAAATCTATTTATTTTATTTATTTAAAAAATTATCTTTCATAATAATAATAATAAAATAAAATTTAAGATTATTCCTCCTCTTATATATTTGAATATCGATACTATTTCAAAAAAAAAAAAGAAGATTATAAACCAAAATTACAAAATTAGCAAGCAATTTTAATAAGAATAATTTATTTAATGAGTAATATTGTATGATAATTTTCATGAATGAATGAAAAATATATCGAATAAAAGGAATATTTTTTTCTCATGATAATATACATCAACAATAAGAACTTTTTTGGTTCGTCTATGTTTTTTATTTTAGATATACAAGCGATCTTTCTGTTTATAGATTTTTTGAAAAAACAATATTCGGCATCATTTCTTATCGAAGTCACGTGACCGTCGAAGGTTAAAAAAAAAGAATAGCAGGTTTTAATACCAGAATATTTTAAACTGTGTGTAGAAAGATATGAGAAAATTTCTTCTTTAGTTTTGGTATGGCAAAAAAAGGTCGGCCACCGAATTGGGAAGGATGAAACGAACAATTTATTGGACACGTGATTCAGATTGCTTTTTTTTAATTTTTTTAATATTTACATACATCGGATTTATTGTACATATTTTCACACATTTAATTTTGAAGCGGAAGGTTTTTTTAATGTATTTTCAGATCCGGTCTCCCTTGTTTATATATTATTGGTAACGGAGATTGGATGATAAAAAAAAATAGTTTTCCTATGCATCATCTAAAGTGTTGGCAAATATTTACTTATTCTGTAATTTATATTATTGTCTATAATAAGATAACAAGAATGATTTGTATAATCTTTATCATATTAAAAATTATTTATTGATTCTTTGTAACAATATTCAAGAAATAGGAATCACATAATAAATAAAAATAATAAATGAATTTATAATAAAACGAATATAATGAATAAATATAAATATAATAAACTAAGTATAATAAAATATATAAAATAAAATAATAAAATAAAATAATAAAATAAAATAATTAAATAAAAATAAAATAATAAAATAAATAATATAATAATAAAATAACAATAAATCGGGCAAAAAAAATAATTTGTTTAGGTGATAAGAGAATCGGATCACATTGCTAATCCGCGTATATAATGTATATAATTGAATTTAATAAATATAATCGAATATGTCGAACGCGTATATATATAATTAATATAAAAGTTACAGATTTATTTGGTTATTATTATTTTATTGTTGATTCTCATTTACTTGTTTATTATTTACGTTTCATCAAAAAAAACCTTTGGGGAATGATTTAATAGATAAATTAATAAAGTAAAAAAATAATAGAGCGCAAAATCGAATATTCTTTATCTAAATTCTATTTATTTAAAATATGACGCGTATAAATGGAACGACCGAGACTGTTAATCTTAAATATTAATAAATCAATATATGTACTATCAAATAATTTTTAATATTTATTGCCTGCACCTGCATATATTGTAAAATATTATAAGTATTATAAAGATTTTAAATATTGTAAATATAGTAAAATATTATAACATTATAAATATTATAAATATAAATAATGTAAATATTATAATATCATAATATTATAAATATTGTAAATATTATAAATTCATATTATCTTATTTAATATTATCAGTTCAGTAAAAATTTTTATCATAATGAACATCACAGATATTATAGATACATCATAATATTATATCGTAATTTCATAGTTCAATGTTTGGATTACTAACACGGAGCAAAAGTTAAACCGTAAGAAAAAGATCCATAAATAGGTTATTTTGATTAGTGTATGTGTTAGTATTGTCTAAACTATTTAATTATTGGTTTTTTCTGGAAGTTGATTCAAGGTATCTTTTCCATTTCCTTCTTCTTTCAATGAAATTAGGTAAAATCTTCCATAATCTTTTTTTTTTCTATTAATTCATTTGCTCATTCTATTTTTTTTCATTGCCATAATAATATTAATTTGTTTGAGTGAAAAAAAATTTCAATGAAAAAAAAAAAATCCTAATCCCGTTTTTTGGAAAGGGGGGTGGGTTTTTAGGGTGTAAATATTTCTCGGTTGACCCCGTTACTTTTATAACAACTCTTTTTATAACATTATTTATTTGTCCATTATAAGAATTAAATAAGATCGATATATGCTACAAATGATCAAAACAGTATAAATAATATTCATGAACTATTTATTTTATGGTTAGAATTTGATTTAGAATAATAATAATAATAATTTGATTTATTATTATCCTTTACATTGAAGTACAATACATATATCTTTGTTCAGTGATGATAAAATGTCTAGCTGAGTACAGCATATGTTTAAAGTCACTTTTTTGGCGTTTTGATTTTTTTTTTTTTGTTTAAGTTGTTGATCGAAGAATATTTACATAATAAATAGCTTTACTAATTTTTATTATTTTTTTATAATTTTATTGGCTGAGTTATTACGACTAATTTCCTTTGTGAAATTTTATTTATCATTATTAATTTTTTTAATTTATTTCTTTTTGTTTTCGCATGCAAACAATTAAAAAACTAATAATGATAACAAATTGCCAATCAAAATAATTTCAATAAAAATAATAATCAATAATCAAAGAAATTAATATATCCTTCTTTTACAAGTTAAGGCAAAACAAGAATTTATTTTATGGACCCACCTTTACCATAAAATTACTTTAATGGAATTCTGGACCAAAAGATATACGTAGTGGAAGAAATATTTTGATTCCATGTGAGTATTTTTTTTATTAATTGATGTCCATTTAAAGCAGGATCAATAATATTTATAGCCATAATGTTTTTTTTTTTACGCGCGATAATACAAATTGTACCAATTTATAAATGTTGTGTTTTATTATTCGACAAGTTTCTTTATTTAACCTTAAATATTCATAAACCAGCCATCCATTATTATTATCATAATTTCAACTTACTAATCTCTTAATAATCACGAAGATTTAATTTAATTTGTGTATATTTAATTTTTTTTAATTTTTGCTTTTTTGTAATCAAAGGCTAATATCGGGAAAAGGTTTTCCGGGGGTCGATTGGATATTTTTTTTCCTTGCCAACGTGATTCCTATCCATATTTGGGTACAATAAACTTTTTACCTAAATTTGCAATTTGTCACACAAAGCTTTCGAGCTAGTTTATGAACTCGATGGATTTTTTACTCCGACTACATATAATGTCAATTGTCCATCCTATTGGTCGGAAAAATTCAACAAATCAATACAAAGTCAAACGGAATATAAATTGCAGATCAATACACGCTTGTATATCTTGTATATCTTGTATATTTATTTAATAATAATATTTAGTAATAATATTTAGTAATAATATTTAGTAATATATTTTATTAAATATATTAATATTGTAAATATAATGATACAATATGAATTGTAAAATAAGAAATTATAAAATGAGAAACATAACATTCAAAAATGATATAAAATAAAGTATATAAAATAAAGTAAAAATAAAATATATAAAATAAAGAATATATCCAGTATTGGTTATATAGTGAGTTTTTTTATATAAAGTCGTTAGATAACAGACCAGAATTTTGGTTTTCATATCATTCCCATATATTCCTATTTTTTATTATTTCAATCTTCCCACTAAATAAATATTGAATTCCACTATTTTAATCTTCTCTTTTTTTATCATTTAATATTGCACATTATAACTATTATAACTTGTTCTGATAAATACAAACAATATACTTTCCTTTAAAAAATGTCACGTAATCAAAAAGATTCTGGTAATCATAGACAAATTATTTTTCACAATGATGTTCTGGTATCAAAGTTGGACCACTCTTTACTTCGTAACCCCCCTTACAAATTAACTTTAACAATTGAAGAACTTACTAAACCTTCTCACCGTGAAGAAGATTCTGACAATAAGGTTCCAAGACCACCTAACGGATTCATTTTATATCGTAAAAATTTTGGAGCCAAAGTAAAGTTGACGCAACCTAAATTAAGGGTCCAAGATATTTCCAAGATGTCATCTAAAGAATGGCAAAAAGAGGATCCTTTGGTTAAGTCATTTTTTAAAATTTTAGCGGAAATACAAGGTGAAAACCATAATAAAGAGTATCCTGATTATAAATATAATCCTAAAAAGAATATAGAAAATAGGAAAAGTCGTATAAACAAGCGTACTCGACCAAAGTCAAAAAAATTAAATATTAAAAATATTAAAAAAAAATATAATAATAATAATAAAGAAACTGAAAATTCTAATTCGGTTGAAAATAATAATGCTAACAATGGTAACGTTGGCAATATTAGTAACAATATTATTGAAAATAATATTAACAATAATATTGACACTTTGAATGCTATTTCTGCATTGTCTGGCGCTTCATTTGAGGAATTAACTTCGACTGAAAGAGACCCCAATCTACCTAAATTCTTTTTGGTCAGAAGAGGTTCTTTCTTAAGTGGAAATATCCAAAAATTTCGTGATCCTTCTAAAAATATTAGACTCCCTAGCACCCACCCACAACCTAACCCTAATTATTCTACACCACCACCTGAATTATTACAAAATTTTATTTCTCAATCGCCACGGTCAGAATTATTTTCTTTTATTATCGATCCACAAAATTATGATTTCAATTTTCATCCAAATTTTATTATTGAAGATTCTTTAGAATCCCATAACAATAACAACAACAACAACAACAATAACTTTAATAATGTTTCGTTCCCTTTTTTACCAAACTCCATTACTCCTTCTATCGATAATTTAAATTCTAATTTCATGCAATGGGATAACCAATGTTTTCCTTAAATTTTTTTTTAATAAAATCAATAAAAATAAGAAATCAAGATAAATAAATTTTATAAAAAATCTTTATCGTATGTATGAATATTTTATGATAACTTTAATATTATGAATTAATTTATTATTAGCATCTTTAATTTTCGTTAGGTTTTTTCTTTATGAATAATTTCATTTTTAACTTATGTTTTAATAGAATTTTAATTATTGTCTTCATCGGTTCTCTGGTAGTGTCAAAGCAAAATAAGGAACCCCCTCTAACAACATAATTTCTTTAATTTTTTATTATTATTAATAATTAATAACTTTTTTTTTTCAACTTTACATTATAAATTATATAAATTATGCAATATGTATCTTTATTAAGTAATTTAAATAAATTTGTGTTTCGGCAACAGCATAACGTAATGATATGTCCATTGATGATAAATTAAGGTTAAATTTATTTATTTTGTTGCAATTGAAATAAATATTTATGCATCGTTAAGAATGTTCTTGCGATAATAATTCTCGTAATAAATTCTCGTAGTACCTTTCTTCTTTTTTTTTGATATTTTAAATATTATTACATAATCGTACCGATAAACAGTAATATTTGCCATTTTTTTGCTTCTTTTTTTTTTAACCATTACAACAGTACAACAAAAAATCAATAAAAAAAAATTACATTCACAAGTTTTATTATTTTTTTTCTAAAAAAAAAAGAAATGCCATTGAATCACAATCGCAATAGGATTTAGTATCAAAACAAAAACAAAAACAGTATAGAATCTGTTTTTGAGATCTTTTGAAAAACAATAATGTGGTCAAAAAAAAATCAACAAAAAAAAAATCAAACTTGTGCATAATTATCTTTGAATGAGTCATTAAATATTGTGACATTATGCTCATTTGAACTATGAATACTATGAATAATTGTTTTGACAAAAAAAGTAAAAAAAAGGTAAAATAGTACTAATAGTTATTATTGCTCAATAAAATCGTTGCGAGAAATAACTCGTTGAAACAGTCCAAAAATAGTAAAAAAAAAATTTTAATATAACAAGTTTTCGGTGACTAATTACCGAGGGTCTTTCGATAAACTAATAGACCAAATTACTCAAAACGTTTCAAATATAGTATCCAGATAACGGAATTGTCTTTCTATCCCAAAGAAACACAAGTGGGGATTAACCAGGCGAAAAAAGATTGAAAGAAAAATAAATTTGTAATTACCAGTGTTTGGGATGATTAGAAATTATTATCTAATCTTATGTAATGTGATCACAAAGTATACTGTTAATTTACTATCAATTTAAATATCTCCGGAAATGTAATCAATGTAATCTGATATAAATCCGAATATAATAAAGCTCCTGGGGGTTCCCAAATAGCAAAGATTTCGTGCATTACTAATAATGGCCATGATGTTTCAAATGAGTTATTTGTTAGTTACATTATAAATATCTCTAAAAATTTATTAACTTTATTAATAAAATTGATATCGAGGTGTGACTCGCCTCGCCCAATAAAAAAGTTTCATTACGAAATTTATTACAAACTTATACAATTTTGTCATCTTTTTGTTCAATATTTATTCGAAAATTTTTTTTCAAACTTTTTTATATAATTAAGGTTCATCAAATATTCGTCCATTTTTTCGATTTTTGTATAATAATAATAAATAATCGTTTGATGTTTTTTTAAAAAAAAAATTCCCGGTTCCTCTCGTATTAAAATAAAAGAATAACTAAGCGTCCAATATCATCTATAATGTCTTGCAAGATCTTGTAATTTTTTGAATAATGGCTTCAATAGTATGATATTCACATTGAAAGTTTTTAACAATTTTTCTTTTTGTTTTGTTTTATAATCAGTAATTTGTTATACTTGCTTCTTTAAGAGAATTTAATATTGAATATATTGAATAAACTTGAATGAAAGATATTGAATGATATTTGAATAATTATAGTAAATGTGAGTAATAGTTATTAAAACAGTGAAACTTTGTTTGCTTATTTCTTTTTTTTACGATGTGAATTTTAATAACAACAAACAATGAAAGCAAACGTAAAAGGATAAGAATATTATTAGCAGCAATTAAATACTGATTTTTTATTTTATAAGAGGAATTAAATATTGAAATATTCGCATTATCTAAAAGTTTCTAAATGATTGTAAAACCAAAGAGAGATAAAATAATTAATACGATATACCAAACATTATATATATCATATATGTGTATGAAAGAGTAAATCAGCACGTAAAATTCCTATTCGGTAGATAATGTATTTATTGTTATTTAGCGCAATACAGTGATATAAAGCGTAATAGAATGTTTGGAAATTATTGAAATAAAATTTGCCAACAGATAAAATCTTCTTTCCTTCTTTCACCAGATAATAAAATGTTGTAATAATAAAATCATAATTGATTTCTTGACTTGACCAATAATAAAATAATAATTATTCGACCGTTAATAATGGTGCAATCATAAACAATTCAAAAAATAGATATTCTTTTTTGATTTTTACAAGTTTTTACAAGTGAGAAACAAAGAACATATTTTATTGAGGGAAACTCATATAATTTATCATCTTAGAGTTAAAAAGGTTAAATCATCATCATCATATGACTATTGCGTGTTGACTAAGTTGATCAACCTATGTGAGCCAATCAATTTATTATTTTATTTTTGGTACGCGCTGAAATTCAAAATAAATTATCTTTGTACTTCAAACATTCTCTCATTATATTTTTTTTCTACTTTAATTAATTTTCACTTTATTCACATAAATTGAATTTAATACTTTAATTAATTTATTTTATCCTTGTATAACTAATTTAGAAATTAATAAATTAGATTTTAAAAGTTAAATGAACTTTGGAAATTAGGTTCTAGAACTCTTGAAATGGAAAAACATAAAAAACAAAAGGAAATAAAAATTTGATTTGTTAAGCTTTTTGAAGGAAAGGAAAAAATTAAATGAAGAAGTATTATACAGTATATTCTTTTTTATATACTATATATTTGAAAGTATATTTGAAAAAATATATTTGACTGTATATTTTCGTGACCGCGTGAAATGTTTGACAAACGCGATCATCTATAAAATTTTCAATGCTTTTTAAATCTTAGAACATTATTTTAAAATTTAAATAAAAACCCTTGAAAGTATTGAATATATAAACTAAAATAATTAAATATACAAATGTAAATATAAATGTAAATATAAATGTAAAAAATATAAACATAAACGTTAACATAATTATATACAAAACGGTATAAAATAATATCAATTCATTCCAATTCCTTATCGAATCATCGAATTCTTCTTCTTTTGATTATTGTTAAAACATAGAAATGATTCGCAAAAAAATTAAATGTAATAAATGTAAATGTAATGAAAGGGGGGTAGGGATATTAAACAAAATAAAAAATAGAAAGATATTGCATATTGCACGAGCATTCTTTTTTTTTTGATTATTTCTAAAAATAATTCGTAAAAATGAAATTTAATGAAAAGGGAAAAACGTTAGGACCAAATAAAAAATAGAAAGTTCATACAAATCACAAGATCATTTGTATTTGTTTCATTTTATTTTTTTTTTTATATATGGCGTTATTTTGTTCAACTGATGTATGTTTCTGATATCATTATTATTTATTATTTTTATTTGTGCATAAATAAATCAATCAATAAATAAAATAAATAAAAAAAATGAATCAAAAGAAATAAAATTTAAAATAATCCCAAATTATCACAAATATCACGTAAATCTTACATGTGAATTTTATTTTATTTTGTAAAAAAAACTAAATAAAAAAATAATATATATAATAGTTACGCTAGTTGATCTGTTATCTTTTTTGATTGTTGTTCTTTTTTTGTTCTTCTCAGAACGCGTGGAATTTGATGGATTTTGGCGGAATTTGGAATGTAGTATATAACCATTTAGAATAAGATAATATAATAATGTAAATATTATAATTCAAGATACAAAAGGAAATTTATTATAATTAATGAAAATTATAGATAAAATATTAATTAAGTAACAATTGGTACAAATATTTTTTCGTTATTTTTGGATGCCTTAAATAAAATAATACCAATAATTGGTAGCAATAATAACAATAATTTATAGCAATAATAATTATAATTTATGGTAATAATTCACAAGATTAAATGTGGAAATATTTTTGGTAAATTTCTCCTTGACCAAAAATTAAACCTTACCTCCAGTCAACCTTTTGTGGTAGACTAATAAGTATACTTACATTTATTACAGAATATACAGAATATGTATCAAAAGTCTTGATAAATGTAGACAAGAATTTATGCTTGAACGAATAATATGATATCATTAATTTACATAAATCACATTAGCCATGAATAGATTTGTGCACAATAATAAGTATTCAAAGATATTTGCCTTTGTCATTTTTTTAAAAATTTTTATTTAATGGTTGAAGCTAATTGGCTGATTGGAGGGATCAACTGGAGTATGAATTAAAGGAATTCCAATAAAATTTTAAATTTTTTAAGGTTTAAATAAGAATTTTCGTTTAAGTTTGATGTTTTGCAATTTTTCGCCTTATTCGGAGACAATGTATTTAATTTTGATTTGATTACCGAGAACATGGTCTATCCATTACTAAAAATGGATATAAGGGTTTTAATTCTTAGAATTTAAAATATGTTTTCCTTATTTGGAATTCAAAGCTTATAAAAAATTCAAAATGATTCGAAAAATTTATTCCGTTTTAACCATAATTAATTATTATTTGACTCCATGATTTTCTTTACATCATAATCCCCATTTTTGTGAGAGTTTGAATTTAACCCTTAACTTTATCTTTATTGGATAAATAAATTCTTAAATGGATCGTATCAATGCTTAATTAAGCTATAATAATATTATTACCATATCCGATAACATGGGAAAAATTTTGCGTCTAAAAATCACCCAGAATGCTGGTGACACTTTTCAATCAATTATACTGGGATGTATTGGTTTTAATTTTTTGGGGATCAGATGTGATAGTAAAGAGTTGAACAATATGTATTAGCAGTACATTAATAGTATATAACAGTTTATAAAAGTTTATAAAGTTTATAAAAGTTTATAAAGTATATTAATATGTATATGCATGTATATAAATGTATATACGGAGCAATACCGTGTTTATAAAGTTTATAATAAGATCTTGATATAATATTTTACATATTTTTAATATATTTTCAATTAGCATATACACTTTCTTTCTTTCTTTTAAACATGTATCGTAAAAATTATATAAAGAGTCTTGATAAATTCCAGGTTGGTCATTTACTTTTATATTTTTTAAAAAACAAAAAAAAAAATTAAAATAAAATTTAAAAAATTAAAGAAAATAAATAATAACAATAATAAATAATTCCTCACTAATTTTATTACTTATTATCTTGAAAATTAATAATAATATTTTTTTTTTAAAAAAAAAAATCATTGTCATCATTTTACCTTTGTCATTCTTTTACCTCTTTATATATCTCTCTTTATTCCCACTTTCATTAACATTCTCTCCATAGACAAAATGTCATTTACCTATATTAACGAATTACTCAGTTCTCCTTCAACATCTGAGTTATTCAGTAACCCTTCATATCCGCTTTATTTATCAGTTGAAACATTAACTAAAGCAGCTGAAAAACAAAGGTCTTCCAAACGAGCTCCTTATTCTATACCACGACCACCCAATCCATTTTTCATCTTTAGAAAAAATTATACAGCAAAGATGAAACAGGAAGCGGAGAGGTCATCCACAACTGATACTTCGAAAAATGTTGGGAAGATATGGAAAGAACAGGGTCCTAAAGTGAAAAAACTTTTTCAAGCTTTATCACTGTTAGCGAAAAAGAATCATAATTTAAAATATCCCGATTATAAATACCAACCCAAATCGAAAACTCTTAAACAACTTACATTTTGTCACGTCGATCCGGGAACAGGAAATAGTAAAAATAAGTATAAAAATAATAAAAAAGATAAAAAAAAAGAAAAAAATAATAAAAAAGATTGGGATAATAATAATGAAAATAATGAAAATAATGAAGAAGATGAAGATAACGAAGAGGGTGGTAGGTTTTCTTCGATTATTGTTCTCGAGGAAACAAAAAAAATTAATTACAATAATTCGGCGTCAGAAACATTTTTAATTCAAAATTTTAATTCATTCCAATTGTTTTATCCGTGTACTACTACCACTACCACCATCAATTCTATTACTAATATTAGTAATTCCACTATGCACAATGCTTATTTATGTTCGCCGCCATCTTTCTATTCAGAGTTAAATAATTGTTCTGATGACTTTGTATCTGAATTTTTTTCGAACAGAAATAATTCGTAGTTGTTTTCATTCATAATTCTTTTTATTTATATCTTCGTAATTTTTCTCAATTTTTCAATCAAAATTATTTCTTCGTAATTATTCCTTTTTTTATAATTATTTCTTCGTGATCAGTATATTATTTCGTGATTATTATTTTATCGTAATTATTTCGTTATTTCTTTTAATTCTTTTTTAATTATTCTTTTTTTTTTTTTAGTTTTTATTATAACTTGTCATTCTTTTCGTTTTACTTTATTTTCGGTGTTTTTTGAAGTATTTCAAAAAAAATATATATATATATATGACGATAATAATTTAACCATTGTTTTTACAATCAATAAGATATAATTTAATAAGGAACCTTTTTAATTGTAAGACAAGAATAACATTTAAGGCATTTATAAGATTTATTACACATAAGATCTCAATAAATTTAATTCATTTATTCTTTAATTTTTTTTTTTAATATTTATTTAATTAATTGTAATCTAAAAAAATGACATTTTTGAGTTTTATCGTATTTGATATTGGATACACAGTAAATATTTTTTAAGGTATTTATGAAGAATTTTATTTTTAATTTATCTTTAATTTAAATAATAATTAAAGACACTAATATTGTAATAAGCTATCAATAAAATATTGAGAAGTACAAAGAGTACCTTTATTATTATATAACCGATATTTGGAATAATGTTCAAACGACCACTTTTTCTTCGTTTTTTTAGTATTTTTATTATAATTTTCTATTTCTTCGAATGAACTAACTTCATCTTCAGAATTATTTAAACTAACGTCTTCACTTTCTTCGGAATCACTTGAACTAATGTCTTCATCTCCTTTGGAATCATTTAATTGTAATATTATTTCATTTAATAATATCTGTTTGATTATTTCTTCCATATTGTCATAATTTTCAATTTTCATTTTATTTTTTTCTAAAAGGATTGAAACAACTTGACTAAGGACTTGAATAAGGTCACCATCGTCTTCTTCTTTGGATTTATTTAAACATGATCTTATTATTTCCTTTAGTGATATCCGTATGATTTCTTTATTGTTTTTTCGAATTTCCATTTTATATTCTTTTAACAGAACTTTAATGTTTCTTTCTTGCTTAGAATGATCTATCTCGTAATTATCAACATACTTACAAATCAACCAAGGATTTCGTTCTAAATTTTCTAAATGTTCAAACCAATCTATCAATAACATAAAAATTGGTAATGATGACGGTGGTTTTGTATCATTTAATTCATTTAATTCTTGACATTTAAGACAACAACAATTTTTACGGTCTTTTATTTTTTCAAAAATTTTCAATTCAGGAGAAATTTTTTCATTATAAAAAGGATCTATCTTCATAACATACCCCGCATACATTTTATTGAGTGATTTAATTAATTTAATCGTTTTGATTTCAATTTCTTTAATTACTTTAGTTAAACCAATTCTTGATTCAATTTTTTCTTCTATGCGTTTTAATTCTCGGAATACGTTAAAATGATAAAGTTGATCTGTTTGTTGAGTCCTGTTTAATAAATTTAGAATATCTTGAAGGGGTGCTGTAAGTACTTTTTCTAGTTTAGCGAGAACATTGGGTTCAATAAGTTCAATAAGTGCATCTTCTAGTTCAATCTTTTCTGGTTTAACGAGAGAAGTAGTATCAAGAATGAGATCACCAAGCGTATCTTCTAGTTCTACCTTTCTTGGTCCAGCGAGAAAAGTAGAATCAAGAATGGGCTCATTGAGTTCAGTAAGTGCTTCTTCTTGTTTAATTACTGTATTACCATTGAGAACAGGTTTAATAACTTCTTTTTCAACCTTTTCTGGTTCAACGAGAAAAGTAAAGGCGATTTCAATTTTATTATTATCGGTATAAGATTCAGGCATATTTAATTTAATTTTTTTTTTCGTTCTAAAGTGAAGCAAATTATCCCACTATTTAAATATTTTTATGGATTGTTTAAATGTAATTAAATGTTATTATTATAATTCATTATAAAAATTAATGTAATGCTAATTATGAATCATTATTGTTATGAAAAAATAATAAAGACAATACGTCTATATTAGAACCTATCATTCACGCTGAAATTATTTTTGATCGGTTTTTGTGTAACTACTTTTGATTTTCTTAATTATCATCCTCCACTTTCCTAAGTCTTGTCGATCGCTTCACTCCATACCCATGATTCTTCTTATAACAATCTAAAATTTTTAACCACACAAAAATAACGTCAAGATTTATGTCCACTACAATTAGATCGAACACATTGAAAAAAAATGAATATGGATTGTAAAATGCCATATCAAAGTTAACTTTGGTGTGTAGGGTGTGATGTACCCCGAGATTGGGTAGATGATAGTCCAACTTGCACTTCCTATAAAAGGTTATTAGTCACTCCACGTTTTTGATCAAAAATCGGTACGTTTACATTAAACGAGATTTTCGCTGTTTCGAAAAAATTTAGAATAATACATTTGAACATAAAAATTAAAAATACAATTGTAGAATTACCATATAAGTAATAAAAGAATTAATAACAATTAACAACATGCATGATAATTATAGAATTAACATAAAAAGTAATAACAATTGTAATAAATTATACAATAATAAAATTTTATTTATTATTTTCTTTAAAATTTTTAAAAATAAACCTAAAATATTTTAATAATCAACATAGAAAATTCTTAAATATACATATTATTAGTTAGTTTTTGATCTATTATAATCTTTCTTCATGCAATCACTCTAGAAGTTGTAAAAATTATAAGACTCAAAGAGCATTTAATCTGAATCCTAAGTCAAAATGCAGGAAACCTAATCTTCCAGGCAACATTGAAAATTTATTCCTAAATTACCAAACGATCTCGATTTTGGTACATTATTTTCCTCCCTACCATACAACCATTCATCACATCTTCGCCCAATATAAAACTCGCTACTATAAACCCATTTTTTTATAATGCTTGTACCTCTACAAATCCTTTCCATTCTAGAAATAGACGATAAAAGATTTCCACGTTAGCATACATGCAAAATTTTTTGTAACGTAGGCATCACAATCACGCGTGATTTCAAGAACTTAAATTCAATCTTACCAGTTGCTAATTGAAACATGTCTTCAATCAATAATAAATTTTTTTACTTGTTTCCCATCCGTAAAAATAAAAATTCACAAAATGTTTCTAAATCTCATAAATAAACTGCCGCAAAATGCATTTTTAAATTAATCAATATTTTATGATTCGGCAAATACCTTAATTAAATTTCAATACACAACCTTAGCAATTTTCTTTACCCAGTCAAGCACCACGATTTACCTTCGCAAAATGATAGAATCCAAATACACAGTAAACGACACATAAACCTTACACACCTCTCAACCAGAACAATATAATATCCAGCAGAACAAAATTCCACTTGGACAACCGAATCACGAACCCCATCTCAACAGCAGTGTAATAACGATAACAACGACGTGACCATAAACATAATCATAATGACCGTAAGAAATTTGATGTAAAAGATTAAACAGGTACTTCTATTTTTTCATTTCTGATTGTCCATTTATCAAAATCATTTTTAAATGCACTATTTCCAAGTATCATATACATGATTACATTCTGGGCACATGTGTGCCATATTTTGTTCCCTTATGTATGTAAGGTAGAAGTTTTTTTTTTTCCAAAAAAAAATTTTAATAAATAAATTTGTATCGGAATTTACGTTTATGTAAATTGCTAAGTACGTGCCGTCGAAATTCAAAAAAAGGAAGCTACAACAATAAGTACCCTTGTTAAATTTCCTTTTTTTTTGAATTTCGACGGCATACAGGGTTGCTACCATTCTTGGTAATTAGATTTTTTCTTATTGATATTGATTGATATTAATTGTTCTAGTTGAATTAGATACTTGTGTTGATTATATTATTATAGTAGTAAAATTAATTCTATTCTAAAAATCTTTAGCCAACGTCCTAATTTCTTAAATATTCATTTGATCCCCATTATATGTAATTGGATCAGTCTCTTCTATGATAGAATTGATTAATACTATTCTATAAATATATTTAAATATTTAAATCATAGCAAGATCATGCAGGATCCTGAAGTCGGAGACACATTTATTTTTCCCGCCTTTTATAACATATCTTTTATAATAGAGAATTTCTTCTATCTATCAATCTGCCTTCTATTGCCTTCCTAGACTACTCGCTGCGATTAATTTCCACATTAATTTGCGAAGCAAATATTTGAATGTTGTTGTCACCCTTCCTTATAATTGTATTAAATAATTATATTAGAATACCAATAGCTCCCAGAACCTTTATACTATTGTTACGATATTCTGACATTATTTAACATATCATATCTAATGTAGAATTCACTTGAGAAATTTCTCTACATAAAAGAGAGTAGATGTTCATACCAAGCAAAAATCTGCAATCTAAACTGGCTTTCAGTAACATAAAAGCATTGTGGATAAAAAACATAAAAAAATATCCAAGAGATTTAATTAATAGAGATTAAGGAAGGGAATCTAATATAGATTGGAAATAGTGAAAATTTTTAAATCATTCTAAATTATAATGTATAAACTTTACTACTGTATAACAATAAATGGTAATAATAATTGTTCTTTATTCCCTTTTTGGGAAAAGAATGCAACTTTTTACTATTTAAGAGAAGAACGTAACGTCTATTTGAAATATATTGGTTCGTCTATTAAAATAATTAAAACGCACATATAAAAATCTTAACAGGTCTAAGTTATTTGAATTACGTATAAAATTTCGTACTTTATACTTAGTGTTAAGATTTTATAAAACCAAAAAAAATTAATAAATATTGTTTTATAATTTAATAAGATACAAATATAAAATATATAACGTTAAATAAAATTTATAAATTAGATGTCTCCAAAACATTAACATCATCACCTAATTAAAAAAATAAAATAAATAAAAATAAATAAAATTAAATATAAATAATTAATTATGAAATGAAAAATGAATATAAAATAAAATATAATTGATACTTACTAGCATTTATTTGATAAAAAGATTCTGTTAATTCTTCAAGTTTTTTTTCAAAATTTTAATCATTTTTAGGTTTTGGAAGATTTGAAAAATTGAGAAGTCTACTTTGTGGATGTGTTTTATAATTCATTGGAGTTATAGTTGCATCGGTAGTTGTTTGATTTTTGGCAAATTCTTCAGCTTCTTTAATTTGAATTGTAATTTTATTATTATTATTTTTATTATTTTCATCATAATCCCAAAAGTATTTATCCAACTCTTTATATAATTCATCGAAAGTAGGTCGATGTGAAATTATCGCATCCCAACATCGCATAATTATTTGTGTAATTAATTTAGGTGTGTGAAATGGAATTTTTGGTCGAAATCCATTACATATTTTAAATGCCAAATCTTTATCATGCGACACATTGAGATATGGGGGAATTCCAGTAATTATTTCATAAGAAACAAATGCAAATGAATAAACATCAGCGGCCTTTGTGTATTTATATTTTTATCGATGTAAATTGCCTAGATGTGAATGAGCCAAGTACTTATGATATTCCTTAATTATGTTTATCAATCGGAGTTTTTATTTTATGTGACCGAAATTTAGGAATTTTCAGGTTAAACAGGTATAACATCATAAATAAAAATTTAATTACATTATTATAGTATTCAATTATATAAATAAATTAATAAAAATTCTCCTTATATAATAATTTCCAAATAAAGTAGTAAAGTACAAATTTTGAAAATTATTGATTTATTGACAATTATTTCAGACGATCAAGTGAGAGGAAAATAATAACATCAATAATAAAATTCTCTCCTTTCAAGTTATTTCTCGAGCAATTGAATTATATGCAAAAAGAAAATATTAGTTAGTAAGTAATTAATATAGTAAAAATTTGCAAGCATTGGAGAATTATTATATTGTACAGCAAAAAGTAATATTAATAATTAATCTTTATATTATATATTTCATTATATTTGAGCCTAAACAAACATATACATTAGTTTCAGGACAAGATATTTGTATATCAAAAAAAATTTTTTGAATATGCAGCGGAAATAAAAAATATTTATTTGTGTGGTTGAAAATATAGTTTTTCACTTTAATGAGTAAAAAATATAAATACAATACCAGAAGTACTTCTGATTGACAACAGAATGAAACAATGATCATGAACTTCAATTTTAATAATGTAAAATTAATTTTATTTTTATTATTAATTTGTAATAATTTATTTTGTTTATCTGTTATTGTAAAAATTTTTTATCTTGTTTATTTAGAGTATTATGGTTTATTTTTATTTATTTTTCATTGCAATGGTTTTAGTTTTTATTATTTTGTTTATTTGAAAATTATTGTAGTTTATCTTTATTTTGAAATAATTAAATTTATTCTTTTTCACGTCGTGTATGCGAATTTGAAATTCATAATACTATTAAAAAATGTTGTGGTCACATGAAAATCAACGCTTTATTTATTTGTTTTTTAAAATAAACAAAATAAAATAAACATATTAAACAAAATAAAATAAACGAAATAAACAATATTTATTTAATATAAATAATATAAAAGTAAACAAAAAAACTATAAAAATGGTACCTATACCAGAATTTCTCTCTAATTGGTTGCTGATCGTTATGATCAACGTGGCATATTATAAAATGTGATTGGTCAAAAATATGTAAACATTTTTGTTGGATCAAAAAATGAGTTTACCTTGTATATTGTATGTAAAAATTTTAAAAATTTTCACAATGTATTTCAAAAATACAGGTCCTTATTCTATTGATAATTGTACAATATCTACTAACCATTTTCATATAATTACAGAACTTGCAAATAAAAAATATTAAAAGAAAAATATACTTGAATTGTATCTGTTATTAAGGGTAAAAATTCACTCAGTTCCCTTGCTCCTTACATCAGTTCTTTTAAGGAGTTTAACATGCTATGTCCTAGGACACACAGCAGTTTGGTATACTTCTTAAGTGATAGAAGGCACCAGTTCATTTTTAGTTAGAATGAACAAACTATTTGTTATTGTGGCATAGTCATTTAAACTTCACTTTTTTTTCAGTGAGAGGTATTGACTCACTATGTAGGTTTATCTTCTTCTTTAATTTGTTCTGAGGTTCATTCCTCAATATATTATCTTCTTATTTAGTATGCAGGACTTATATCTTTTGTCTAATTTATAACTAATACTTCTTCTTAATCTGCAAGACTTATATCTTTAACTTGTCTTATGACAAACTTAATAATCTCCCTATTTGTTACATCAGGAAATTTTTGGAGGCAAATATATTCAGATATATTTGATCACTCACACATTTATCTATATAAATTATATTAATCCACATTAATTCACATTTATTCACTATTATCTATATAAATTTTCTACAATTTACAAAGACATCAGAATAGAATAATACTAAAACTAAGAAACAAAACTAAATAAAAACTATAAAAATACTAATCTCAAAATAAAATAATCACAATACAAGAGTTTATATGTAGAAGGAATTTTGTATAATCAATTATAAAAGAGGCGTTGTTGACTATGATCTGACCTTCAAGAGATATAATTAACTATTAGCTAAAGATACAGTAGCTAAACTAAAATATAATAAACTACTAACTAATTTATACTTAAAAGTAATATGGTTGAAAGATTTAGATGTTGTGGATTTGTTCGAAAGAGGCAAGACTATGAGATTTTTATAAGGATTTAACTAAACTATTCACAAAGAATATAACTAAACTAAACTGATAATTCTTAACACTAAGTAGATAATTATAACACAAAAACTGTATATCAAGATCACAAAGCAAGATATAATTCAACAAGGGTTTCAGTATTCCAACAAGGAATAATATAGAATTTCACTAAGAAATTACAACAGTATAAATAATAATTCACACAGGTATATATTATTTATAAAGCAAATCACAAAGTATTTTATTAACAAGAATTAGGAGTTAGCGACTGAATTAGCTAAAGAACTGAATTGGAACTCAATTGAACTAAGGACTGAGCAAAGAGAAATTCAGCCCTTTATATAAATAATTGAAGTTATAATAGATTACGCTGTAAACTATACTAATGCATACATTATTAATTACACTGATGTATACACTATTAACTACACTTTCTACTACACTATCTATTACACTATTTATTTCACTATTGATTACACTGTTGATTACACTCAAATTTACAGTCGTCATACCTAATGGTTGTAACAGTTTCTAAATAATTTACACTAATAGTTTCCTATATAATTATACTAATAAAAATATGAAATCAAACTAATAAAATATAGTTATAAATAAGCTAATACATGATAATAAAATAATAATATAATAAATAAATAAGATAAAAATATAGTAATAATAATATAATAAATAAATAAGATAAAAATATAGTAATAATAAAATTTGACAGCTAGGGTTAACAACGTAATTACTATTAACAGTAATATAAAGACTTTTAATAGAGATGAATAGTTTATCAATTATCAAAAGAATATAATAAACAAGGAACTTGAAAGATTTTGTAATATTAACTTTATTACTTAATAAATTTTATAACTAACTGACTAACTATCAAACTAAGACTAATTAGAAAACTAAGATGAACTAGGATGAACTGGAAAATTGAAAACTGAGTTGAGGAAATTCTCAGCCTTTATATATATAATAGATTTAACTATAAAGCTAACTTGTAATTTGACTTAAAACTTCACTAGTATCTATGCTAATATCCTATCTTGTACCTTAACTACTAATTTAACTTGTACTTTAACTGAGATATTAACTTGTGCAATGGCTTATACTCTAATTTGTATTCTAGTATTACAGATTAACAAGAATTTAGGAATCTACTAATTTAAGTAATAATATTTAATTTGTACTACAGCCTAATAAATTGATCTACTGTAATACTATATATAATAATAAGAAATAAATAATAGATAATAATAAAATAATAAATATTCAATATAAAATATATAATAATAAAATATATAAATAATTAATAAAAATAAAGATAAAATTAAAGGTAACAATTCTTTCAATTTAATTATAAGGTTCTATCTTATGATAACTCAATATTGTTAACAAGGTCATTAAACTTATTGTTGTATCTTAATAACTCATTAAAAGTAGAAACTTTTATCCTAAAAATAGTGTTATAGGTCAAGGTCATGATACAATACATTTGACTTGGATTCTTTTCAAAAAGTTGATAAATTCTAGTAATTCCTTAATATGGATAATAATAATTTGAAATTTGATTGTCTTGAATAAATTCTCTCTATTTAGCTTTAGGAGTTACTGGAAACTGAACAAGTTTTTCTAAATAGTAACAGTATATTAAGGTTATAATTCTATTGTGAGTATTCATGGCAGTTTGTAGTTGATGATATACATATTGAACAGAAATTTCCTATGTATAATTTAAATCATAAGGTTAATCAATCTATCTTACAGTATAATTTTCAATTCTAATTAAATCTAAATAATATTGTGACATTTTCTATATATTTGAATTGACTGAATAATATTTTGGAAAAAGGAAAATTCTCAAAAGAATTAGTAATTTTATAAAAAATAAGGTTACACTATAACTTGTTTGAATAGTATCATGTTACTTAATTGTAATTTGTGGTACCCAAGAATTTCTTTCATTATATTTCTTCAATAAAGATTCATTAATTGATACTTTTAAGACTTTCCATTTAAAGTTCTCAATTTGTACACTCCAGAATGTGGTACTGTATGAATATAGTAAGATTTTTTTCAGTTTGGTTCAAGTTTACTGAAATAATTTTTTTTTATTGTATTGTACATTAAAACTTTATTACCTATTTCATGTGTTATGATAATCTTAACTTTTTGGTCATGATAATTCTTCTGTTTTTGTTGTTTAACTTTTATTCTAGATTTTATATTCTTTTTTTTTTTGGAAATTCATTAACTAAGTGGAATAATCTTGTTAACAAATTTCCTTCTGCATATTCAATTCCTTTTGTAAGGGACATACGAACAGGTCTTCCATATACAAGATAGAAGGGTTCAATTTTAATAGTAGCTTGTTTTGCTGTTTAATATGCAAATGGTATAGCAGGAATATTTATATCTTAATCTGTAACAGTTTTCATTGTGTGAACAAGGGATTTACATAAAGTTCTATTGAATTATTCTACTAATCCATTTGTTTAAGGATGGTAGAGTGTAAAGAATAGATGTTTAATATGAAAACAAGCTAACAAATTAGCTATCATATTATTTCTAAAATGGATTCCTTTGTCAGACAGAATTATATAAGGATAACTATATCAACAAATAATATCTTCAAATATGAATTCAGCAATTTTGCTTGCAGTTACTTCACTAATGGCTCAAGTTTCTGGACATTTTGTCATTTAGTCAGTGGCAACAACAATATAGCATTGATTTCTTGGAGGTTGGAGTAATGGTCTAATAATATCAATTCCTATATAACAAATCTACTAATTTGTTAATTATAATGAGCGAATAAATAGCAACAACTATTTATTACACGGAAATAATATCAACAAATATTATTCCAACAAAATATAGGTTATAAAATAAATTAATTGACAAGAACTTGCTTGCCTCTTTATTTTCTTATGCCTTTATATAATGATAAAAATACATAATTATAAATATAGATAAATATTATTACATATCTTAGGTTCATAGAACCTTTCCGGAATAGGTAGACATAATTAATATAATAATATAAAAAGAAATAAAAAAGGTACATGTGAATTAGCTAATATAATATAAATAGAAATAATATAGATTATTCACATGTACTAGATAAGACAATTTAGATAAATGATTATCACATTCTTTCATCCTGTTTTAATGTGAAATCAACAGCAAAAATAAAATAAAAAGAAAATATAAAAGTAATAAAAAAAATAAATAAAAATAGAAATATTTCTACGTAAAAATTACTGCGGTAAAATTATGTCAACAAGACGAGAACTGCTACATGCAACTTATACTGATTTCCTTCGAGCTTCTCTACTCCTCCTCATATCAAATTACAATGAATGTCTTGTATTTCATTTCATGACATAATGGAAATAATCTTATGATCTTGTTGATATTCTTCATAGACTTCACATATATCTTAACTTGTTTCTAAATATATGTCACATCAGCAATAGGAATTAAATCCCATTGCCTTGTATCATTTTTGAGTACCTTTCTTTCTTTTAACCAGATCAAAACAATAAGATAACTGATTATACAATTTCCATATAACAAACTTCAAATTCTAGCATATTCCTTTGGAAGTAGAATTATATCTCATTTTTTTTTTTTTTTTTTGTATTCGGACCAACCCTTGCTTGTGTTACATGAGTCATATGAGCCCATTTTAGTCACTAATGACATGGGAGTACTTCTCATATCATATACACTCACTGGACCAGTAGGATATTATCCTTTCATCGATCCCAGGTTACAGCCCGCTATCAGCGGTCCAACGGAAACATCTGAAGTGAACTAATAGTTTATTATACTGAGATATCATTGTGGCATGAAAATCATGAAAGACCTGTGACTACACAGTACAGAGGGTGCAGAATTAGGAAGTTGGTACTACTCTCCACCCAGAAGCGTCTGGGCTGTCCGTCACAGTAGAATTATATCTCATATAGGATTCTTAATACAGAAGTTCATAAGTTAATCCTACAAAGTTTACTTTTTCTTCATTAGTATTCAAATTATTACTACTCTTTACATATTCTTAATTACTATTATTCTCTTTTTTATAATTGTCCAAGACAGTAATAGAAGAATAAAGAGAATCAACTGAGCCTTTTTTTATTCACCCTTGCTCTCATAAACAAAAATGTTGAAATTTCACATCATTTATTTTATTTGAGTCATTAGAATGCATTACTAAAGTTGATTCCAAATTCCAAATATTTTTTTTTTGCTATTTTATTAGATCTTTGACTTATAAGTATAAAAATCTACTCGATTCTAATCCTTTTCTTAAAAAAAAAATCCTTATTTTTGTCTTTTTTTAAAAAAAATTTTCTTATAAAATAGCATTTGTTTGAATTCATTTGCACAAAAAAAAAGTGAATTAATAAATTTTATTGACGAAGCGAAAAATCACAAAAGAATAAATAATATGTCAACTAATTATATGATGATGAAAAAGAAGCCTTTCACTTTACTTTTAGTTATAGTGTTGGTTTTGTTTATTTCGATTAGATGTGTTTCAGCACAATCCATTACAACTATTCCTGATACAACTACTCCTGATACAACTACCCCTGATACAACTACTACTGATACAACTACTCCTGATACAACTACTACTGATACAACTACTACTGATACAACTACTACTGATACAACTACTCCTGATACAACTACTACTGATACAACTACTTCTGATACGACTACTCCACTTACTTCTTCCGATACAGCTATTCCAGTTCCCACTCCTGATACAACTACTACTGATACAACTACTCCTGATACAACTACTACTGATACAACTACTCTTGATACGACTACTCCACTTACTTCTTCCGATACAGCTATTCCAGTTCCCACTCCTTATACAACTACTCCTGATACGACCACTCCACTTACTCCTCCCGATACAGCTACTCCAGTTCCCCCTCCTGATACTTCTCCATCAATCGAAACAACTTCAAGTAATAAAAATCCTAATACTATTACATCAACTGGCAGTGTGAAACCATAAAATAAAATGAATACTTATGATAAATTTACAAATTTTAAAACTTTTATTCTACTAGTTTCTCTTCCCGTTACTTTTACACAAACAACAGTCACCACGGGTAGCGTTTCTTGTAGTTCATGCAAAATTGATTCTACAGTGTAAGTTATTTTAAAATTCTAGTCTTTTCTAATATTTTATTTTAAATATTTTAAATACATGTGTCATCTTGACTTTGTGTTTCAAGAGTGTATTATTAAATTATTTCTTATTTTTCTATACAAAAATCATAGGAATACCAAAATCATTAGTAAAGGTACTACAACAACTAATTTAGATCCACATCCTAGTACTTTCACTACTATTAGACCAACTACTCCAATTGGTTCGGATATATTAACATTATTCACCAAAATTACAAGTACAATCATTATGTACTTTCCAGGTTATACTACATTCTTTATAACAACTATAAGTCAAAAAGCAACTCCTACTGAATTATATTTTCCTCCAAGTACCATGGTTGTTGTTAAAGAACTTATTGTAGCAGTTGTTACTACTAATAATGCTACTCCTACTAATAATGCTGGTGATTCAATTAACAATTTAAATATATGGAAAGATAAATTAGATCGTCTAATCATTTGTTTGTGGGCAATTGGCATTGCATTTGTTTACATGATTTTGGCTTAATTTTGAAGTTTAATCAAAAATATTTCATCATGAATATCCGTTATATAATATCTATCATATGTATCAAGTTTATATTATATATTAACAATTGTTTAAATAAATTTATAAATTAAATATTCCATTTTAGTTCATTTCTTTCATTTTTTCAACTCAAAAATTTACAAAAAAGAAATTTAAATTTTTGCAAGTTAAAACTTTATTGCATTGAACTTTTTGAAGTAGAAAATAAGGTAACAAATTAGAAAATATTTAATAATATTAAAATAATTACCAAACCAAATCATTAACAATAATACAACTACTTTTACTTATATTTACTGAAATATCTAAAGTATTATCATTTTATTTATTTATCTACACTAGATTTATTTTTGACTTGACGCTAGTAGCTAATGAATTTGAACTTGTTAGAGTTATCCAAAAACTAGTACTATTTTTATTATTTTATTGAAAATAACGCTTGATTAAAAATATTTTTCTGTAATCTACCAAACTATTTTTGACAAGAAAACTTTAAAATTTATATAATTTTGTAATGACGTCATGGCCAGCTATCTAAATCTTATTTTTAATAACTCAGATTTTTTACTTCGTCGTCATTCTTTTCAAATGAGATATCATTCGGGACTATGTCATCAAGTGAGGAATTATAATCCTACTCTTTCCACCATCCTTAAAGAAAGGACCAAGGAAAGGTTTTCATACTAAAAACTACATTACAGGAATACTTATTATTTTCGCCATTTAGCTCAATTAAACCTTATAAAAATTATTGACAAACAACTTTGGGAAGACACCAATCAACTATATAATTAAATTCATTGTTCTGAAAATCATCATCGACGGGCGTCATACTCTATATCATCTACACAAAAGATAATATCGATCTTATATCCGGGTTGTTTTTTATTGGATTCTTTTAATAAGAATAAATTTTTAAGTGCAAAGCATTTCTTCACAGCTAGTATCAAAAATAAATAACAAAATCAAGAAATAAATGCCATGTTAAATTCCGCCCATAATTAGAAAATACGAGAAGAAAAGGAAATAGGTGTTAAATTAAATCAGGATAAATATAATAAAATATTTTCTCTGATTTTGCTATCTGCGACGAAAAAACTGTAAATAATGTGTAAATGATATAGATATGCAGTCACAGTGAGACCTTTAGGTCCAGACCATGTCATTCTGTAAGCAAAAGAATGCCCGTCAATCGGCAAAAAAACGCAGAATACAGCTTACGCAATCTCAAGGTAATAAAATATTTGAAAAAAAAAAACTAACCTAGCTCTTGTTTGAGCCCTTTGCTTTATTCCACTCACGACTGTCGTCACTAAAGTGATTGACATATGTTTCAAGTTCCCTTGCCAGTGTTCTACGGGATTGGACCGTGATGCGTTAAGTATTTTGTTGAAATAAATGTCACAATTTGCCACACTTCTCATGAAGCAGAACTTCTTCCCATTTCTATATTGGATTGAGTGAAACAAAAAATTTTGACTAAACGGCTTATGAGAATAATTGAGTTCTTTTGTAATTTCGGTCATTAATAAGGATAAAAAAATTTGCGTTTTGACTAAAATATTGATATATTTGATATATTTGATATATTTGATAAATGTTAACTATTATATTCATTACTCATTACGTAACATCACTTTAAATATATATATATTATTCAGTTTATTCTCATTTTGGTGCTTTATTCATTCACAAGAATTTTTCTTTCATTTTTTTTCTTGAATAAAGACCGATATAATTGATAGTAATTATTCATGAATTTAAATTTAAAAACAAATTAATAATAATAATAATCAATTTAATGTTATTCAAATAATCAAATTGTGGTTGAAATATCGAAATAATTATATTAAGTAAATAAAATAATAAAATAATTAAAATAAAATAAATTAAAATAATTAAATTATTAAAATATTTCGAAATGGATGAAATACAATGAGTGAATAAAAATCAAATATTAAATAAAATATATATATATTTTTCAAAATATTCAATGAATGATTATTATATTTTCTAAATTCACAATTCGATCAATGATATTCTCACTTAAATGGTTACTTTAATGATCGTGGGGATAAAATTCCGTCAGAGGTGGAGAGAATAAAATACAAAAACAGCATAATAATAACAATGAGCATATCAACCCGGAGATTAAATATTATTTCGTAATTATTATCAACCGCAATATATTGAACGGTACAGATATCAATGAATATAAAAAATCGGCGGAAATAGGAGTAAATGATTATAAACTAGGATTAAGATATAAATATCTTGCGGAAGGATTTTTAATTTTTAATGAAAATAAAAAAAAAAAATTTATATTCATTTAAAAACTTTGGAAACTATTTCTAAAATCTTATCATATTAACATTGAATTGGCTTGATAATGTTTTATTAATAATTGTAATAATATTTATTATAGTTTTTAATAATAATTTTTAATATTTTAATAAAATTTTAACAGATTTCATATAGTTCAAGATCCATATGAATAATAAAATTATTCAAATATTCAATTTGCAAGGGTTATGTTTGAATATCAATTTTTATTCTAAATTCTGAGAACTTAGAATTTTTTAGCATGTGAAAAGCATACGAAGTGCGTTAATGAATAATTAAAATAATTAAAAAAGTAATAAAAATATAGTAATGAAAATAATTAAAATAAAATAATTAAAATAACTAAAATCATTAAAATAATTAAAAGAATTAAAAATGGATGAAGTGAATAAAAATCAAATATTAAATATATATATATATATTTTTTTCGAAACTCTAAAGGTTATCATTTGAATGGTTACGGACGTAACAATTCCGGAGAATAAAAAATATAAAAGACAACAATAATTGTAACAACCTGGTGATCAGTAACAATATTGAATTTAATTTGAGCGGTATAAATATTAATAAATATAAAGAATCGGCGGAAATAGGAATAAATGATTATACTGTCAATATAAATATCTTGAGGAAGGAATTTCGATTTAATGAAAATAAAAGAAAAATTTATATTCCCTTAGAAGCTTTGGAAGTTATTTCTAAGTTCATTTAAATCTTATCATCTTGACATCGAAAGAAAATTGCAATAACATTTAATATAATTTACAATAATAATCCTTATCAGTTATTAGATAATACTAATAACAATATTTTAATAATATTTTAACAGATTCATATAGTTCAAGAGAAAAGCTTTATTCATGATGTTCCAATTCGTGAAAATGTGAGTGTTGATATGGAAAGTTGATACAAATTCGAAAGAGATTAGCCATTTTTTTTTAAAAAAAAAATTGGTTTTAAATTCATTAGTACAAAAATAAAAGTAAACTATAAACTTTATTAACGAAACAAAAAAAAAATCACAGAATTTTGCTTTACCTTTAATTATAGTTTTGTTTATTTCGATTAGATCTCCAAATATTAGTTTAAAATCTAGTGTTATAATAACTATTGTGCCAATAACTGGTACTGTGCTAAATACTGCTCCAACTAGTAATCGAACAAGTAGTTCAACTTCAACCGGTAGTGTAATGATAATTTTTATAAATTTACAAATTCTCAAACCAACATAAGAGTTATTCCATTTTTACTCAACCAGCTTCTTCCACTACTACTTCTAATGCCGCCGGTAATTCTATTAATAATTTAAATATGTGAAAAGATAAATTAAATCATATGATGATTAAACAAAGGGTATTTAAATTCTCTTAAATTTAAATCGGTGAAATATTTCATATTGCATTATATTATATCTATAATATCTAGTTTACTTTACATCCTCATGTGGAAATCAAGGATAGAGTCACCTAACAATTGTTTTCAGGAATAATTATTATTTTTTAATTTTTTTTTATTAAAGCTCTTTCTTGGAGTCGCAGTTATAGAGTAGATTTGTGGATATAATGTAGCATTTATTGTTATTTTTTAATATTAATGTTTACTCGATTCTTGTAGCTAATTGAGAAATATAAAATTATTTTTAAGATATGAATGTATATTTGTTTTATATTAAAAGTGACACAATTTCCGTACACTCATATGACAAAACAGTTCACCACCACAAGTTGCACAAGTTGAAGATTAAAAAAAAGTTATATAATTGTTATGCATGTCATTATTCTTATTACGTTAATTCAACAATTGTCATGCATGTTTATTAATTCTTGTTATTACTTTATTTTAAGATGTTAGATTATCCTAATTCGTGAAATTGCGTACGTTAACTTCATGCGCCCATTATACTCTTTGTTAAAATACTAAAAAAGATAATAACATTTTGGCATCGTTCACACCTTGTAACACTTTATATTTTTTAAATTCATATTAGAATTTATCCTTTAATAGAAGAATAAAGAGAGTTGACTGAGCGTTTTACTATATTTTGTTATCTTTTTTAGATCTATGACTCATCAATATCAAAAACCTACTCGATTACTTGACTATCTTTAAAATAAACATTTTTTTAAAAAAAAGATTCCTTATTTTTTTTAAAAAAAAAAAAATCTTATAAAATAGCATTAGTTTAAAACCCATCTGTACAAAAAAAAAAAAAAAGCAAACTATAACGAAACGAAAACCACAAATTAATTTTATGATGATGAAAAAGAAGCATTTTACTTTACTTTTAATTATAGTGTTGGTTTTGTTTATTTCGATTAGATGCGCTTCAGCTCAATCAAATACAACAACTGAAGATGAATTAACCACTACATCTCCAACTAGCCCTAGTTTTAATTCTACTATGCTACCTAGTTCTCCTCCATCTAGTAGTTATTCTAATTATATGAATTTCACTCTACCAACTAGTTTACTTAGTTATATAACTGCTCTATTACCTAGTACTCCTTCAGCTACTATTCAAATACCATCAACTAGTAGTCCAACTCCAACTGGTGGTTCAACCGTTAGTTCAACTGATAAAACAACTACTATACCTAAAACAACTGGTATTGTAATGATACTTATGATAAATTTACAAATTCTCAAACAAATTCTAACAGTTATTCCATTTTTACTCAACCAGCTACTTCTACTACTACTTCTAATACCGCCAGTAATTCGATTAATAATATGTGGAAAGATAAATTAAATCATATGATTATTTGTTTGTGGATGATTTGCGTTGTTTTTGTTTACGGATTTTGATTTAATTTAAGATTAACCAGAGGGAATTTTTAAATTCTCTTAAAGTTTAAATCGATTAAATATTTCATATCGTAATATATAATATATCTAGTTTAACAATCATTTAAATTAATATATAAATAAATTTTTTTTTCATATTTTTTTCAACTCGAAAATTTATTTAAAAATGTCTTAAAATTTTTTTGCAAGTTATCTCGAAACTTTATTGGACTTCTTATATTGTAATGTAATCAATGAAAATAAGAAAAATCCTTTACTGCATTAGAATATCGATCATCTTGACTTAATTACTAACAGAAACGAGTGTATCGTATTATTATCAATAAATATTTTTACTTATCATTATACTGAAAATTTTAATTTATATATACTATTATAATATTATTTTATAAAATTTATATTTTTATTGAAACTTAATTCTGCAAGTAATTTTCATTAGTTGCTAGTATTATCTAAAAACTAGAAATTATTTTTATTATTTATTTGAAAAGACTTTAGAAAATTATTGTAATGACGCCGCCGTAGTCAAATATTCAATCTAATTTTGACATCTCCGATTTTACTTCTCTTCCAGAATCTTCACTGGTTAGAGATGACATAGTCCCAAATGTTAACTTCTTTCATTTACAAATCATCAAAGTGGGAATTGGAATTCTACTCTCCGTTATTTTCACCTTTTAGTTGAGAAATCTTAGATTTAATTAACCTTTAAAAAAAATTATTGACAAGTATTTGGTATTATTTATTTCTGATATAAATTTATTTTCAAGATAGATGCTTTTTTATTGATTGATGTTTATTCATAGTGTTTGGAGTTCTTGCGAGTTTTACTTTATAAAATGAAGGATGCAGCCTTATTTAATATAAAAATTAGCTAAACTAATTTGAAAAAAAAAAATAAAGGTTGGGTCCATTGATAAAATATATTATGTGCTAGTTTTGTCATGATTAAAAGAGTGTGAAAATTATCATCTAAATAAAAATTACAATTAATAATATTATATATTTTCAAATAAATTTAAATATCACTTTACCTCATTTATTTTTTTAAAAAAAGAAATAAATTTGTATATCAGTAAATTTTTATATTTATCGTTTGCATTCAACCAGAATAAGATCTATTATTTAAAATCTTTCAGATCACCTGATATGTAACGTTTAGATGTAAATTCTTTGATAATATTGTATCTGTATTTAATTAATAAAAATCATATTATCTAATCTCTATAAATCTCTATATTATAAAATAATAATAATAACAATGTGTACGTGTTCCATGTATAAAAGATGGAAGGTGTTCTAAAAGATATCCACAAAATTTTCAGACAAATGCTACTCTAAATAAAGATGGATATCCAGTTTATCAGTGAAGAGAAAATGAACAAACTGCAAAAGTAAATAAAATTGAATTAGACAACCATTGGATAGTACCTTACAGTATAACCCATATCTAATAACTAAATATAATTGTCATATCAATATAGAAATTTGTTCATCAATTGGTACTGTAAAATATCTTTTCTAATATATTTGCAAATAATCATACTACTATAGAGATTGAAAATGAGCAAACTCAATGTAATGATGAAATATGTCATTACCTTGATGCTCACTATATTTCAGTATCTAAAGCTACATGAAGAATATTTCATTACAAGTTATATAATGAAATGCCAGATGTTATCCAATTGCAGATTCATCTTCCAGGACAATATAGAGTAGTATTTCAAGATAATGAACCTCTAGAAAATATTATTGAATGTTCAAATGTAGAAAAATCAACACTTACAACATGGTTTGAAGCAAATAAATATTTCCAGAAGAAAAAAAATTTACATATGAAAATTTTCCATTTCAATGGGTTTACAGTGTACAAACAAAAAAATGGAAACCAAGAAAATGAGAGAATTCCATTGGTAATATATATTTTATTCATCCAACAGCAGGTGAACTATATTTTATCAGAATGTTTCTCAATGTAGTTCATGGTGCAACATCTTTTGAAAATCTTCATACAGTTGAAATAATTACTTATCCTAATTAAGGGAGCATGTGCTGCTTTAGGAATGTTACAAAATGATATGGAATGGAGTCAAAGTTTGAAGGAGGCTGGATAACTACAATCTGGAATTCAATTACATAATTTGTTTGACAACACTCCTTCTATTTTGTCAATTAACAAGACCTGAATTACTTTGGAAGAAACATATTCATATTTTTAGTGATGATATTCTCTTTCAAGTTTGTAATGAAACTAAAAATATGACACTTTAACTTATAGATGTTGAAATACATAATTGAGCACTTATTCATCTACAATTTATCTTAAACAAACAAAGAAAGTGTCTTGAAGAATTTTCAGATATGCCTATTTCAACAGCTCTTTCAAACAATGAAACAAGTGATCATTTAATTAATGAAGAGCAACAGTATAATATTGAAAAATTGGCTCAAGTTGTTGAAAAAGAAATTCCCAAATTAAATATAGAACAAAAGATTATTTTGAAGAAATCATAACAGCAGTAGAAACTCAAAACTCTGCTGCATTTTTTATTGATGGTCCAGGTGGAACTGGAAAGACATTTCTTTAAAAGTGAGAAAATAATTAATAGGTATTATTCAGTATTTGTTATCATTAATATTTTAATTACTAATATCAATAATATTATTAATAGCATCTTACTTGCAAAAGTATGTTTAAATAAGTATATTGCTCTCGCAGTAGCTTCCTCAGATATTGCTGCTCTCCTCTTGCCAAGTGGATGAACTGCCCATTCTCAATTTAAGCTTTCTATAAATATGCATGAAAATTCCACTTGTTCCACATAACATAATTCAGATCTTACTTCTCTTATACAAAATACATGTCTAATTATTTGGTATGAAGTATCAATGACTCATAGATATGCACTTGAAGCTGTAGACAGAACTTTAAAAGATCTGAAAAAAAAACCATTTAAAGATAAGTTATAGTATTTGGAGAAAATTGACAAATTCTACCTGTAATAGTTAAAGGAGGACAAGAAGATATTGTATAATCTTGCTTGAGATGATCAGATCTATGGAAATATATAAAGGAGATAAAATTAGAAATTAATATACATGTACTTTGAACTATAAATAGTTCAGATGATAAAAAACAAAAAGAATTTACAAAATGGTTACTTAAAGTGGAGTAGGTCATATTTCTATTGTTGCTGGATAGGAAGAAATCTCTAATAAACTTCCTGAAGATATTATTTTACCATCCCAGGAAATAAATGACCTGATTTACTTTGTCTATAATGATTTATCTCTATATTATAATCTCCAATATTTAATTAATGTGGAATACTTGCTCCAAAGAATGAACATGTTAAAACTATTAATAGCATTATAATGGTTCAGTTTCTTGGTGAAGAGGTAAAATACTTAAGTGCAAATGAAATTGATCAAACTGAATCAGTAGATAAAAATTGATCTGAACATTTATATCCAACAGAATTCCTTGACTCTTTAAACTTTGGAAAACTTCCTTCTCACCAATTAATATTAAAAGTAGGAGCTCCAATTATGCTGCTATATAATATTAATTCCTCTGAAGGTCTTTGTAATAGAACAAGGTTGATGAGTCATTACCTTCAAAAACATGCAATTGAAGTAGAGATTATTACTGGTAAACATGCTAGAACTTGGATTTTCCTTCCTTGCCTTATTTTATCACCTTCAAATACAGACATTCCTTTTATTATTAAACATAGACAGTTTCCAGTACAACTAGCTTTTGCAATAACCATTAATAAATCTCAAGGACAAACACTAAGCAAAGTTAATTTATACCTTCCAACACCTTTGTTTTCTCATGGGTAATTATATATTGCATGTTCAAGAGTGACAACTAGAAAAAACTTAGAAGCATAATGAAGCTGTGTTTGACCGATATATATCATCAGAATTAGTATTCTCTTGTAAAGATATATCAGATACTTTATTTATGAGAAATAAGCGCGGTCACGAGTCAGATTATTCAGTTTGCATTTATCTGAGTTTTCTGTGAGGTATTTTCAGAAAAAGCATCTTATCTACCTTCTTTCTCTTTCATGTCAACATTAAGAATTATTTTGTATAGATATTGCATAGACAGATATATCTTAAACTATTAAATCGTATCTATCACAATGGCACAAAGATAGATAAGTATACTCTTTCAATGATACAGTAAACGTGAGCATTGAATTGTACGGAATATTTGAAGTATTTTTTTTGGGTCAAGAAATTCGCCGTGTACTTACCTTGTAAGCTGATAATTTTTCCGAAGGCATAGGTCTGAGATTGAGTTTCTGGAGAGAAATTTACAGTCGATATACTTATTTCAGTTTTGAGAAAGGTTTATTTTGAAATTAAATAGTCAGGATGTTTTTTTTTCGAATATTGATAAGGTTTGTGATTACATTTGTGCTATATGTAACTTGGCCAATTTTTCTATTCCTTAAGATTATAGATTTTTCCAGTTCTAAGAGTTTAACTTCTTTGCATATGTATACCATACTTTTTGCTATTTAACTCTGTCATCATAAGAAATCTCATCAACCCTTTCATCATACTTTTCTATATAGTTATACCAATGCAAAATTTTTCCTACCCATATTGAATTGCATTTGGTACATACAAATTATGCTTTGTGACATGATCTGATTATATTGATTTTCACTATCTGAGGAAAATAGTTCTTGTTTTAAATCTTGTTCTACTATCTGGTTTTTATCAAGCTAGTGAGTATCACGCAACTTGAACAGCAATTAGCCAATCCACCTAAAAACACTTTTCTTAGAAGACTTTAAAATACTATTGTACAAGATCTCGCATATGTAATTATCATATTGAGCATAAGACCCGCTAAAGTCAATTACCCATTACAATCAAGACATGCTGAATCTGGTTTTAAAAATGGTAGAACATGTGACG